CCCCAGGGGGGATGGTCACGCCGCAATCCCTTCTCCTCCATTCTCCTCTCGGGATCCTGGGCACGCACGCACACGCGACCAGCGTGAGTTTTAAGTCCCCCGGTCCGGGACGCGAATCGCGGTCGCCTACGTGGGAGTCCAGTGACATAGCCATTACGCTAACTGCTGGTTCCCAATAGTTTTTTATATTTAAGTCCACATCTAGAAATCTTCTAAGAAATACTTGAAATATTTTAAAAGATTTTATTATAAAATGAAGTTCATGACAATGATATGTATAATAGCAAGAAAGCAGAAATAATCTAAGTATCCAACAATGTGGAAATGATTAAGGAATATAATATAAACATTTAAAAAGATTGTCTCAAAGGATTTGAAACTGAGAAAATTATTACAATATTGTTTGTGAGAAAAATAGGAATTTTACTTTTATGATAAGCTCTCTATGTTCAATCAGGCACAGAAAATTAAAAAAAAAAATATGTTCCAAAACATACACTAAAAAAAATCAGCAAAACTTTAGCAGTAGAAATTAACTAATTTTATATACATGTGACTAGTTATTTTAAAATTCAATCACCCTGGGAACCAGCAGATGATGTAATGGTTACATCTCTAGACTCCCATGGAGTCACCCACAGTTCAAGTCCTGGACCCGGCAGCTTAAAAAACTCATGCCAGGTACTTGTGCATGCATGCCCAAAATCCTGAGAGGAGAATGGAGGAGAAGGGATTGTGGTGTGGCCATCCCCCCAGGGGGTGATTTCTCACTTTCTGTCTCTCTGGCAAGCGCACATGCTCTATAGCAAAAATCTCTCTAAAAAAATTAATAAATAATTAAAAAATTAAGTCAATCTACCAGAGACCTTGCCCAACACCGTCTATAAAATAGTAGCTCTATGTCATCACTCTTCACCTTAATCTGCTTTGTTTTTCTTATCACTTCCTGACCTGATGTTTTCTGTATGTATTATTCCCTGTTACCCCACTAACACATAAATGGTTTGAGGGCGTATATCCTATTGTTCATACTGTTCTTCAGTGTTTGTTACATAAAATATACTAAGTAAAAACATGTTAAGTGAATTCATTTGAGAAGTCATCGTAGAGCCCTTCAAATATGACAAAAAGTTGTAAAAACTACACTCTTTGGGGAGTAAAACATCCCAGATAGTACGACAAATGAAATAATCGATATTAGTGGTTCAGAACCCCAAAGTAGAGGCAAAGTAGTCTTATAAAAACCAAATGATAAGTGCAGTGATTTACATATAGCTTAATGGAGCCTTTACAGATCTTGAAGGGAACTGAAAGATTAGCTCATGTCTAATACTTTCACTCATAAATTTTAAGACATTACCAGCACTGCAAGATGCAAGGACCTGGACTAGCAGTTGCATTGTGGTGAATGGTCTCCCAGAGCCCAGTTCAGGATTTGGGTACATCCCCTCCTCACACTTCCAAGCCCTCCAGGGTCAAGAGGTCCATACAAATGATTCATGAAATCCATAGTCTCCAATTTCAGAGAATGACACAATAGCAGAATCTCAGGTTTTTGGGGGTCAGAGAGAGTTTGACTTTCCTAGGTCACCCCAGAACTTCATGTAGAGTTTAGACATTTGTCAGATCCCAGCTGACCAAAAATGTACCCTTGGGACCAGCAGTTAGCGTAATGGCTGTCACTGGACTCCCACGTAGTTGACCGCGGTTCGAGTCCCAGACCTGGTGGCTTAAACTCACGCCGGGCGCGTGTGCATGCATGCCCAAGATCCTGAGAGGAGAATGGAGGAGAAGGGATTGCGGCGTGACCATCCCCCCTGGGGGGTGATTTCTCGCTTTCTATCTATCTCTCTGTCTCTCTCTCTGTCTGTCTGGCGAGCGCACGCGCCCTATAGCAAAAACCTCTCAAAAAAGAAAAAAATGTACCCTTAACAAGTGAAGAGGGATGCCTCCGATTTCTGAATGTCCTAAAATAGGAAGAGATTCACCCTCTGATCTTTCCATAGCTAACAAATGGCTCCTCATCCTGTTTCAAATTCATCCTTTCTCTCCATCAATTTTCCATCTTTAACATTTTTCTTATGGCTATTCATAGGTCACCTTTGATAAGTTTTCTATTCATTCCTCTTACTAATATTGCTATTCATGTTCCTGTATTATTCTTATTGTGAGCTCTCTATATGTTGAAATGTAAGTAACAGCTGAGATAATTCTGCCCTTTAATATTTGGGGCAGATTGAATCACATCTCCTTCTGTGGATTTTGGAATACCCTGTACCTTCCCCATATTTGTGAGACTTGCCTTCCTTAAGATCTGTGAAAATTCTTCAAAAGTTTGCAATTTTCTAGTCACATCTCATAGAAGGAAAGGTGCCATCCCACTGAAACAGGTAAGTTTATATGCTGTTTTACCACCATGTAATGTCATACATGTAGAATCACATACATCATCTAGACTTTTTTCTTAACATCTTCTTTTAAAAGATGCATGAAAGGTGGGTCAGCAGGTGGCCTGGTGGTTAAGGCGCTAGATCCCCACATGACCGACCGCAGTTTGAGTCGTGGACCTAGTGACTTGCTTTCTCCCTTTCTCTCCCTCTCTTTCTCTGGTCAAATTAAAATTAAATCAAATAATTCTTTTTTTGAAAAGTGCACAAAGGCTCCAACAGAAATAGAATGCAAGTCACATGCATAATTTAAATTTTTATTATAGTCACATTAAAAAAGTAAAAAAAAAGGGAACCAGCAGTTAGTGTAATGGCTATGTCGCTGGACTCCCACGTAGTCGACCGCGGTTTGTGTCCCGGACCCGGTGGCTTAAAACTCACACCGGGCGCGTGTGCGTGCGTGCCCAAGATCCCAAGAGGAGAATGGAGGAGAAGGGATTGT